CTGTACCGATACCTCTTGCAGTGTCGAGATAAGAGAGTCCATGTAAATAACCCTCTTGGTTCGCTGAATTAATCTCTGCTAGTAAATCACTTAAGTCTCTCAGTTTTTGACTGTCTTTGGGCCTGATTCTGGGGAACTGATCAAGTTTTGCAAATAAAGCCCTCTCAGTGGCCTCTGGTGACCCATAGATCTCCTCCAATCTCTCCCAAATTAACTCTAATGCCACAGCTAGTTTGTTTATGTTCACCACCTTAATGCGGTGAGCCTGTTTGGCCAACTCTGGGCCCAGTGACTTTATCAGGAGGTCAATTTCTTCTGATGCTCTAAGTTCAAGGATGTCACTTGCATTGATGAAGGTTGATTTCCAGGATAAATAGTTTTCTGATTTATCATCAAACCTGGCAAGTTCAGATGTTAACAACTGGCTCCTCACTAAATATTTGGCAAGCTCATTGGTGTCACTAGACTGGTGTTGATCACGGGTGTAATACTGAAAGCGACCAGTGTGTACCCAGGAGTGTCATGGCTCTTGTATTGCCGGTGACTTCCTATTGCTGGTGACTCACTGGGTGGCCTAGACTCGCTATTCTCTGGGGTTCTGGGGGGCTGACCGTCCTTTGGTGGTGTAGACATGTCGTCCTGATGCACCTCTGATTCCTTGGATAGGACTGGTTGCATGCATGTTTTCCCTGACTCTTTATCAGTTGGTCGACAGTGCTTCTTTATGTATTCTGCTGTGCATTCCTGTGCACTTTGCATTTCTTTTGGAAGGTACACATGTTGATCTATTATGTCCAGACTTGCAGCAGTGAACTCCAACACTGCTGCTTCTGCGGCTGCGGCTTGAGCTTCACCTTCTTTTGCCAATACCTCCAGCGTTGCTTCTAATCTGGCCCTTTCCAATTTGATCTCTAATTCTTTCTTTGCAAATTCAACTCTGGTATGAGTGGCCTCTGCCTTTGCACGTGCAGTGGTGGCTGCTAGTAATACACTTGAGGCTGCAGAATGCTTCAATGACCTCGAGGCTGAAGACCTAACTTCACTCTCAGCTTTATCCATGATTTTGCTGGTGCACTGTGCTTTTGCGCTCTCTTCATGTGCTGCGTCTTACGTGCTGGTCAAGAATGGCATTTAACCCATGTAACAATGCAGCCTGGGGACCAGGAGTTCATCGTTGGTTTCTCTTTTCACTGTTCTGGCCTCGTAGAAACCCTTTCCACTATCCAGTTAGTTAAACACCTCCACACAATTAGTCACAAATGTCAGGATGGGTTTAGACTGTCGTGGCTAGAGTGTGATGCCAACTAAATTAATTCAGACAAACCATCCCAATTTAAAGGATCATTTAATATTACAATTATTCTGAACAGAGTAGCAGTTGAACAGACAATCTGATAGTTAGGGAAACAGATAACAGATGGAATGGATACAGTATTAAAGAAGTAGATTGTCAGAGCGCCATTCAGTCATAGTCAGCAGTCAGTCTTAATTCAGCGGCCCCCCAAGCGGGCTGGGTTCCCCACAAAGTATACTCTCCCTGTCACAGTAGTATTGTCATCCTCTCTTCTTTTTCTTCTTCTGCTCTAACCCAGCTTTTTATCTGCTCGCACTTGCACAGCCCGCCTGAGCCATGAAGACGCGGTGCCATGCCAGCTACCCACACACCTTCTTCCGAGCATTGTCTAAAAATGTCCAGTACATGAACTTCTAGGTCACATTGACCTAGCGCACATTTCCTTTTTCTAAACCTGAACAGAGCACACAAACAGTTCACATAAGGCTGCAGCTACAGTATATCCATTCCCTATCTGAGGAGGAAGTCACTCGGGATGTTGATCCATAGGTTAAACAAGGGGGACACAGCCCAAGATATTCTTGCCTGCGCCAGAAACAGATCAAGCTTCCGTACACACTTAGCTCAGCCTTACATCCTTTACACAACTATTACAAATAATATCTAAATATGAACTACATACTGTTCTATTACATATTACCTCTGGAACCTTGTTTATTTTCAACCACTACAAGACTGTTCTTTATATGGCAGGTGTGAAACTGTAACAACAATACCATACATGCATAAGTAAACTGAAAGGAAATACATAAAACACAGCTTCCAGCAGATAATGCTAATCAAAAATGCACATGACTTAGCTATGTCACAACAAATAAACTATGCATGGATATGCTAAATCCCTTGAAAATAATTAGCTTATAATAATGTCAACTGCTTGAATCTTGTCATTTTGTATCTGATGTTTGTTTTCATGTATTATTGTTACAGCAATACTTAACAGAGAATGCCTTTCATGCACTCACTAGAGAGCGTCAAAATAACACAACCACCGCTAACTCTTGCTATCTTATTTACCACTGCGATATCTTGCCTCATTGTGCACTTCTTGTCTCGCTTAAAGGGCCAGCGCACATAACTAAACTAAGGCAAGCCAGAACAATCACTATGTCACCTATTTGCATGTTTCTTTTAGGGGTGTGTCATCACTGTCTGACCATAATATTGTGAAGGTATTCCTTCTTCCATCTTCTCCAAAACTGTTTGTAAATCTTTAATGATCGCCGTCTCTGCATTTTGTCTTTCATTTACAGTAGTGAGCAAGTTTGATTTGTCTTTTAGTACATGTCGTCTGAGTTGTGCTACTGCTCTAACTGCATGGGAACAGGAAGAGAGCTTAGTGAGGCAGTCACAGAGGCTTGTATGTTTTACAGTTTGTGTGTTTAGCATCTACACTTTTTTCACCTCTGGGTCTCCAACTGGAAGTTCTATTGTCTCTTTAGTTGGAAAATGTATTTCTTTTTCCCACAGGAAATCAGGGCCTGTGAGCCAGTTGGATGACAGCAGTTTGTTTACTGTCGTGTCATGACTTTGTCCTGCCTGATTGATGCCATGTCAGCTGGGTTTTGTTCATGGGGACATAAAACCTTTGCTGTGGTGTGGTGTTGCAAATTTTTTGTACTCTATTAGCAACAAATGTGTGGAAATGCCTCGCTTCGTTATTTATGCACCCTAAAGTAACCTTTCAGTCTGTCCAATAGAACTCTTGCTCATTGTCATAGAGCAGCTCTTCTCTCAACATGCTGCTCACAGCTACTGACACTGCCGCTGTGGTCAGTTCTAACCTTGGGATTGTGGTTACCTTTGTTGGAGAGACTCTTGCTTTACCCATAATAAAGATACAGTGAATGTCCTTGTTTTTGTTTAACAGTCTAAGATAAGAACATTGAAAATAGCCTGTTGCTGGATTTCACCCAACACATTTCTTGGAGTATCCTTTTGCCATTGAGCACATATGGAGCTACGAATCCTAGGGGGTCATATATTGCTGTGTCTGTGGACAATATTCCACGCCTTGTTGGGGGTTGGTCTTTCAATGTCATGTTGAATGTAAAGCAATCTTTCTCTACGTTCCAATAAATTCCGATTGCTCTTTCTGCTTGCGTTTCATTGAATGTCAGGTCCTTCATTTTGATGTCTGTTGCATGTTCTGATGTTGGTATGCTGTTTAGAACGACACTATTGTTGGACACAAACTTGTGCAACCTTAGTCCACCCTTAGCACACATTTTGCGTGCTTCTTGTGCCAGTTTTATAGCATCTTTCACTGTCTCTACACTGGATGACTCCGTCGTCTACATAGAAGTCTCTGGATATAAACCATGAGCCTACAGGATATGTAAGGCTATACTCCTTGGCCAGATGTTTAAGTCCATAGTTCGTGCACCCTGGTGACGAGACAGCACCAAAGAGATGTACCGTCATCCTGTATGCTTGAGGCTGTGAGTTGATGTCTCCATCCTTCCACCATAAAAACCGCAAGTAGTTGCAATCGTTTTCTTTGAGCTGGAACTGGTGGAACATTTTCTCAGTGTCGTACATTACAGCTACTTGATGCTGTCGGAATCGTATAAGGACACCAGTTAAGTTGTTAATCATGTCAGGACCATTTAGTAAATGTTCACTGAGACAGGTACCTTGATGCTTGGCTGAACAATTGAAAACCACGTGGAGCCTCTCAGGTTTCTTAGGGTGGTAGATGCCATGGTGTGGTATGTGCCATGTTTCTCCTGGCGGTCCATTATCATCCGTTTCCTCTGCATCTCCTCTTTGGATGATGTCATTCATGTATTTGATGTCATCCTTCTTGTATTTTTCATCTCTTGTGAATTTATCTTTGAGCTGATTGAATCTGCTTTCTGCAAGTTGTCTGTTACTTGACATTTGTGGCCTTTCTTTAAATGGCAATGGCATTTCGTAATGTTTCGCGAGCCTGTATTTTCCATTGTTCATATAGGGTGTAAAGTTTCTTCTTTTTTTGCTCATGTCTTCCCTTTGATATGTTATCATCTTTTCTGTTTGTACCTTTACTCTTTCGGAGCATCTTGGCATTTCTAGTGTGCTCTGGATTTTATCTTGTAGCTCACTTAACATTTGTTCTTTACATGTGATTGAATCTTCAGTGTCTTGTCTGTTCTCACCTTCATTTTGAAGCAAGTCTTTTAGGCCTTGAACTTCCCTTTGTAAGCTTGTGATTTGTTCATTAATGTATATTGGAAGCAACTGTAAAATTAGTTTTGGTGAAGACTGTTATTAGTTCCTTTCAGCTTCTCAGGAGCTGCTGACATTGCTGTGGACAGAGACACAGCAATAGAGGTCAGAGTCACTGTGGACTGTGCCAGTGGACACTTCAGTAAAGCTTTCATTGTTATGTCTCAAGTCTGGTGTGATTCACCATGAAGAGATTAGCAGAGAGGAGACATGATCTATGACATGGCATTTCACACTAGTGCATATCTGAAGAACACATGCCCATGCTGCTCTTGAGACATGGCGCAGATTTAATTGTTCCTATTTGCCCTAATTGTTCTTTTATGTATCTAACAAAGAAATTTCTCAAATATAAAACATTCATAGACAATAACATTTTTGTCTTATTATATACTTTATTGGTTTAATTTGTACCTTTTACATTTTAATCAACCAGTGGCTCAGGAAACAAGCTGAAGCCACGAAGTCATTCAGTGCAGATGTTGATGAGCTGAAAGACCTAAAGGAGGAGGACAGGAACCCTAACTGGTTAAAGGATAAAGGAGAGTAAGTAAAGCTGATTCTCAAGACTATTTAATAGTACTTATTTTTCTGATCGATGGAATCACTAAATCAAATCTTTCTTTCAGCAATTTTTTTGCGATTGGAGACTACCTGAGTGCAGTAAATGCCTATAACCTGGCTATCAGGCTCAACAGAAAGATCCCTGCTCTGTATTCAAACAGGGCTGCATGTCATCTGAAGTTAAGAAATCTTCATAAGGCCATTGAGGATTCCTCTCAGGTACTGCCTGTGTGTTATTTTCACTCTGCATGCTGCAAAATATGCTCAGTTAAAGCTTCACTGTGCATGTTTGTGTTTTGCAAACAGCAACAAGACATTACTTGGTTTATAATACCTGGAAATTCTGTGGTCAACTACTGCATAAGATGCATAACTCTTGATGGAGTTGTATTTTAGGTACTGCAGGCAGAATGTTTTGAGAAGGTAGCTGAACACATCAAAGACGAGAACATATTTTTGTTCTCTGCACTGATTTTGATGAACTGTCTATCTTGAGACTGACTTTGTTAGAGGAGTGCAAAAATAAACTGAATGCAAAAGCATCACTCTCCCATTCTTTGGCACATTTAACCTTGTGATGGCAGCAGCCTTGAGTTTGAGGTTGCACCATTCAAGAAAAAGCATACCCAGAGAGTCAGCGACAGCTCACAGGCAGGACACCCAGTTATTGACCTTGGATCAGATTTGACAATGAGTAGGGTGGGTACTTCAGTGGAAGCAACAGTATCAAAGGTAGAAGACAGAAAACTGAGGGAGGTCACTGTGGCTGGAGGAAAGTGATATCAAATGACAGCCTCAGGGAAAGAAAAGGTGCTTAGGGGCAGGTGAAGAGTGCAGTGGTTGGTGACCCCACATTGAACAATACTTCCTATGAAGACACTCACATCAGTTGGGTGAAATCCAGCAACAGGTTAGTAACCAGTGTGCAGCATAATGGTCTCGTAAGTAGAAGTTAGCACCGAACAGCAGTCAGGAGAGTGGTGAGAGTAGGCAGCCAACGAAAGGGAAGGGCTTAGACCATATTCACACAGCAGCCATATTTGTTGTCACGTGACAATTGGGGTGGGAAACTCCATACACCAAAGCTCGACAGACATGGCTTTGGGGAAAGGTTTAGCATGCGTTCGTCTGCTGACTTTTAATCTATTTGGAAATTGGGCTAATGCACATGTAGATGACATATAAATACACATTTACTTACCACACTCTTGTGATAAATCTCCTCATGTAAGTTTTTTTGCTGGGGGACACTTCCTGGAAGGAGGTATCTCTCTTCATGCTTCATTGCATTCATGCCAATGTGCTTTGAACTAACTTTTTTTATGTAATCTGTATGAACATTACACAGAAGTATGTATTTCAGTGAGTATAATGTCACATAATGTTACTGATAACACATTCCTGTCTCATCTGGAGCATCCCAACACATACATTAGGATGCTATTCATCGATTTCAGTTCCGCATTTAATACAGTAGTCCCTTATAAATTGGTTCAGAAGCTCCACAACTTGGGACTGTCCACATCACTGTGCTCCTGGATCCAGGACTTTCTGGCCAATAGGTCTCAGGTGATCAGAATAGGCAGCCCTTTAGCATCTAAACTGGTTCTGAACATGGGTACACCGCAGGGTTGTGTGTTCAGCCCAGTCCTTTATATCCATTTCACACACGGCTGCACTGCCATCCACACTTCAAATACCATCGTGAAGTTTGCAGATCATGCCACCATAGTGGGTCTCATTTCAGACAATGACGAGACTCACTACTGAGAGGAGATCCAGGTGGTGTTCAGACAACTGTTAGGTTCTCTCTCAAGCCTGGAGGTGAGAGAGAGAGCGAGAGAGAGAGAGAGAGAGCAGGACCCAAACTACAGGAGTCAGTTAAACAGACAAATGTTTTATTGTAATATACTGAAGTAGCGGAGTAGAAGAAACTGATTAAATGTCAGTGGCAACACCTCCAAGACCATCACGCTGAATACAGGGGCTCCACAGGGGTGCGTGCTCAGCCCAATGCTCTTCACACTGCTGACCCACGACTGTGTGCCAACCTACAGCACCAACCACATTGTCAAGTTTGAGGATGACACGACTGTAGTTGGCCTCATTACCAACAATGATGAGGCCAACTACAGGAATGAGGTGTGCCAACTGGTGCAGTGGTGTAAGGGCAACAACCTCTTTCTCAATGTGGGGAAGACTAAAGAGATTGTTGTGGACTTCAGGAGAATACCTCTAAAGCATTCACCACTGAGCATCGACAGTGCTGTAGTGGAGAGAGTGAGCAGTACCAAGTTCCTGGGGGTGCACATCTCTGAGGAGCTCTCCTGGACCAACAACACCACATCACTGGCCACTAACAAAAAAACATGGCGCCCACTGAGGCGAACGTGTTTGCGCGTTCCACTCTTGAATGCTGTTTTTTTCTTCGTTTTCTTCTTTTTTGTGTGTTTTTTGTTTTTTCTGCAGTGCACAAATGTCATGCACTGCTTACATACAACAGACAGGCATTTCTGGATATCGCCAACTCACAAAGCCACTGGGAATTTACTGGTTTCATACCACCGATTCGGCGACAATAACAACAATGGCGGGCCACCATTGCCCGCAGGGAGCCTCCGGACCACCAGGCACAAGCGAGCAGGCTGAAATCAGGAGAGAAACCCGGAGACGGAGACGCAAACGCGGCAGGCGAGGAGGGCTTCATGCTAGGCTAAAAACTCGCGCTACCCGACCGCCATTACCCAGCCTCTTCCTAGCTAACGTACAGTCTCTGGAAAAAAACTGGACAAGCTAAGGGCTAGGATAACAACACAACGGGAAATCAGAGAATGCTGTGCTCTAGTTCTCAC